CCAGAAGCTTCTTCAGTTCTGACTGGATGGTGGGGAACGGAAGGATTTATACTACTTGCAGACAGCTGGTCATTTGCATCCTTTTAGAGGGTCGTTGAGGCCACTTGGAGGTTTATCTGTGTCCTCAGGGTCACCTGAGTAGTGCAAAGGGGGGGGAGCCTTTTCTTTAAGACGTTTCCCTTCTCATCCAAGAAGCTTCTTCAGTGCTCCAATATCTCAGGGGCTGCCACAAAGAAGAGGTAATCAAGCTATTCTCCAAAGCAGGCAGGACAAGAAGCAATGGATGGAAACTCATCAAGGAGAGAAGCAACCTAGAACTAAGGAGAAATTTCCTGACAGTCAGAACAATTAACCAGTGGAACCACCTGCCTCCAGAAGCTGTAAATGCTCCAACACTGGAAGTCTTTAAGAAGAGACTGGACAGCCATTTGTCCGAAATGGTGTAGGGTTTCCTGCCTGAGCAGGGGGTTGGACTAGATGACCTCCAAGGTCCCTTCCAACTTTACTTATTACTATTATTATTATTATTATTATTATTATTATTATTATTATTATTACTATTATTACTATGCTGACTGGGTGGTGGGGAGTGGAAGGATTTATACGCCTTGCAGACAGCTGGTCATTTGCATCCTTTTAGGGAGTCATTGAGGCCACCTGGAGGCTTACTTGTGTCCTCAGGATCACCTGAGTGGTGCAAATGGGTGTGGAGCCTTCTTGGGACTGCTGAAAGGACGGGGTTGCACCATTCAGGTGGCCTTGAGGGCACAGACAAACCTCCAAGTGGCCTCAACAACTCTCAAAAGGACACAAACGACCAGCTGTCTCCAAGGAGTATAAATCCTTCCATTCCCCACTATTCCAGTCAGAACTGAAGAAGCTTCTTGGATGGGAAGGGAAACGTCTTAAAGAAAAGGCTCCACACCCATTTGCACCACTCAGGTGACCCTGAGGACACAGAGATAAACCTCCAAGTGGCCTCAACCACTCTCTAAAAGGACGCAAATGACCAGCAGTCTGCAAGGAGTATAAATCCTTCCATTCCCCACTATTCCAGTCAGAACTGAAGAAGCTTCTTGGATGGGAAGGGAAACGTCTTAAAGAAAAGGCTCCACACCCATTTGCACCACTCAGGTGACCCCGAGGACACAGAGATAAACCTCCAAGTGGCCTCAACCACTCTCTAAAAAAGATGCAAATGACCAGCAGTCTGCAAGGAGTATAAATCCTTCCATTCCTCCACCATCCGGTCAGAGCTGAAGAAGCTTCTTGGAGGAGAAGCGAAACATCTTCAAAGAAAAACAAAAAAAGTCCAAGTTGCCTCCTGAAGATGCACCTTTGGGACATGCTCCCGAAGACCCCTTCTTGACCCAGGTATCCCCTCTTTGCAAGACCTCTCTTTCCATCTTGCTTTCCCCCCCCCCCCCAAGGTCAATCTCAAGTCCTCCATCCAGGCCCTCAACTCCTTTCAGAGCATTTTTCGCAGGGGCGATCACTAAATGAATCAAGAGAGGCAGCAGCGAGGCAGGGACAAGGCCCCCGTCTTCTTTCTCTTGCGATTGCAGGCAGTCCTCAACTTAACGACCACAATTGACCCCACAAAATTTCTGTTGCTAAGCGAGACATTTGTTAACTTTTGCTCCGTTTTGCGACCTTTCTTGGCACCGTTGATAAGCGAATCCCTTGCAGTTGTTAAGCTAGTGACACCCTTCTTAACTGAATCTGGTTCCCCCCGTGGACTCTGCTCGTCCAAAGATTGCAAAGAACCGTCATAACTATGAGTCACTTTCCAAGTGGCTGAACGTTGATCGCACGACCCTGGGGGATGCTCCAACGATTGTTAAGTGTGAAAAACGGTCCAAAGTTACTGTTTTCAGGGCTTTGTAACTTTGAACGGTCACTAAATGAACTGCTGGTAAGTTGAGGACTATCTTTTTTAGAATAAAATAGAATAGAAAATAGAGAATAGGAAAGAAAATAGAATAGAATAGAATAGAATGGGATGGGATGGGATAAGATAGAATAGATATTGGAATATAGAATAGAATAATAGAATAGAATAGAATGGAATAGGATAGGATAGGATAGGATAGGATAGGATATATGGAATGGAATAGAATAGAAAATATGGAATGGAATGGAATGTGGAATGGAATGGAATGGAATAGAATAGAATAGAATAGAATAGAATAGAATAGAATAGAATAGAATAGAATAGAATAGATAATATGGAATGGAATAGAATGGAATGGAATAGAATAGAAAATATGGAATGGAATAGAATGTGGAATGGAATAGAATAGAATAGAATAGAATAGAACAGAATAGAATAGAATAGAATAGGAATAAAATAGGAATAGGAATAGAATAGAAAATGGAATAGAATAGAAAATATGGAATACACTAACTAGACTAGACTAGAATGAAGGAATGGAATGGAATGGAATAGAATAGAAAATATGAAATAGACTAACTAGACAAGACTAGAATAAAGGAGTGGAGTGGAGTAGAGTAGAGTAGAATAGAAATATATGAAATGGAATAGAATATATGGAATGGAATGGAATGGAATGGAATAGAATAGAATAGAATAGAATAAAATAGAAGCAGAATAAAATTCAAAATAACAGAATAGGAATGGAGTGGAGTGGAACGGAATGGAACAAAACAGAACAGAACAGAATAGAACAGATATTGGAATATAGAATAGAATAGAATAGAATAGAGCTGGAAGGGACCTTGGGGGTCTTTTAGTCCAGCCCCCAGCTCAAGCAGGAGAACAGTCCCATACCATCTCAGACAGGTGATTGGCCCATCTCTTCATAAAAATCTCCAGTGATGGAGCACCCACGATTTCTGGTGGCAAGCTGTTCCACTGGTCGATTGTCCTTACTGTTAGGAAGTTACTCCTTAACTCCAGGTTGCTTCTTTCTTTGGTCAATTTCTAACTATTGTTTCTCATCCTGCCCTCTGGTGCTTAGGAGAATAACGTGACCCCCCCCTTCTTGGTGGCAGCCCCTCAAATACTGGAACTCTGCTATCACGTCTCTCCTATTTCTTCTTTTCTTTAGACTAGCCAGACCCAAGTCCCGCAGCCGTTCTTCGTATGTTTTGGTCTCCAGGCCTTGGATCCTCTTAGTTGCTCTTCTCTGAACTTTTTCCAAGCTCTCAACATCTTTTTTGTGATATGGTGACCAAAAATGGCTTCAATATCCAGGTGTGGCCTCATTAGGGTTTTATTGTTGTTGTTAATTGTTAATTGTGAAGTCGTGTCCGACCCATCGCGACCCCATGGACAATGTTCCTCCAGGTCTTCCTGTCCTCTACCATCTTCTGGAGTCCATTTAAGTTCACACCTCCTGCTTCAGTGACTCCATCCAGCCATCTCATCCTCTGTCATCCCCTTCTTCTCTTGCCCTCCATCTTTCCCAGCATTAGGCTCTTCTCCAGTGAGTCCTTCCTTCTCATGAGGTGGCCAAAGTACTTGAGTTTCAACTTCAGGATCTGGCCTTCTAAAGAGCAGTCAGGGTTGATCTCTTCTAGGACTGACCGGTTTGGACACCTTGCAGTCCAAGGGACTCGCAGGAGTCTTCTCCAGCACCAGAGTTCAAAGGCCTCCATTCTTTGGTGGCCAAAGTTTTATAAAGCGGTACTAATACTTCGCCTGATCTTGACTCTATGCCTCTGTTTATACAACCCAGGATTGTGTTGGCTTTTTTGGCTGCTGCTGCACACGGCTGGCTTATGGTCAAGCGATCGTCCACTAGGACTCCGAGGTCCCTCTCCCAGTTGCTGTTTTTGAGCCAGATCTCGCCCAATCTGTACTTACCTGTAAAACACCTCAAACGTTGGACGTGGGGCGGGGGGAAGAGTTTCGTGTGGGAGTGGGAAAGCCTTGAAAGTCTCTCTAGTCTGACGCGGGTCCAGCCGGCGCCCTCCGAGCTAGGCGCCGTGAGCTCGCTCAGTTCCTCCGTGGCTGGATGGGCCGGCGGAGTCAAGGAAGGAGAGAGGAAGAAGAAGCGGGAGGCAAGGCGGGAAGCCCTGCGGAGTGGAGCCAGGTGGTGGAAGAGAAGCCCCCCCCTCCTGGCCTCCCTCTTCCCTGCTAAATGAGACCTTCCTCCCTCCCTCCCTCCCTCCCAACAAGACCCCCCCTGGCCTCTCTCCCTCCCAATGAGACCCCCACAGCCTCCCTCCCTCCCAATGAGACCCCCACAGCCTCCCTCCCTCCCAATGAGACCCCCACAGCCTCCCTCCCTCCCTCCCAATGAGACCCCCACAGCCTCCCTCCCTCCCTCCCTCCCAAGACCCCCAGCCTCCCTCCCTCCCAATGAGACCCCCCAGCCTCCCTCCCGAGACCCATGGCCTCCCTCCCTCCCTCCCTCCCTCCCAATGAGACCCCCAACCTCCCTCCCTCTCTCCCGAGACCCCCAGCCTTCCTCCCTCCCAACGAGACCCCCACAGCCTCCCTCCCTCCCTCGACCCCCGGCCTCCCTCCCTCCCAACGAGACCCCTAACCTCCCTCCCTCCCTCGACCCCCGGCCTCCCTCCATCCCAATGAGACCCCCACAGCCTCCCTCCCTCCCAAGACCCCTGGCCTCCCTCCTCCCAATGAGACCCCCCCAGCCTCCCTCCCTCCCAACTAGACCCCCCCCGTCCTCCCTCCCTCCCCCCACGAGACCCTCCTCCCTCCCTCCCCCGCCCACTGAGACCCCTCCCCTGTCCTCCCCCCTCCCTCCAAACCACACCCTCCCCCCGTCCTCCCTCCTTCCCCCCACCAGACCCTCCTCCCTCCCTCCCCCCGCCCACTGAGACCCCTCCCCCGTCCTCCCCTCTCCCTCCAACCAGACCCTCCCCCCCCGTCCTCCCTCCCTCCCCCCACGAGACCCTCCTCCCTCCCCCCGCCCACTGAGACCCCTCCCCCACCCTCCCCCTCCCTCCAAACCAGACCCTCCCCCCCGTCCTCCCCCCCCTCCCTCCCTCCCTCCTTTGGAACTGCGGCTCTCCGCGCCCGCCTCGGCCGGCCGACCGGCTCGCTCGGCACGCGCCGGCCCCGCTCGCCTTCGCTTCGGCCGCGAGCAGCAGCAGCAGCAGCAGCAGCGTCTCCGCCTTCCTCGCTCCCGCCGCGGCGTCTTCCCGGGAAGTTCGCGGCGGGGCCGGCCGCGCCGCTCCTCCGTCCCCGGCCAGGCTCGGCCATGCGGGGGCGCCGCGTCCTTGGCGGCGGCGGCGGCGGGGGCGGCCGCTGCTGCGCTCGGCGGGGCCGCCTGGCCGCCCCGACGGCCTCCCCCGGCGTGACTCGGGCTCCGGGCCGGGGCTGAACCGGACGGGTTTCTGCCCGGCTCGCCCACCCCGCCGCCGCCAGGATGGGCTACACGGACCCGACCTTCAACCGGGACCTGCTGGGGAACCGAACTTTGCTCTTCATTTTCGTCTGCGCCTTCGCCCTGGTCACCCTGCTGCAGCAGATCCTCTCCGGGAGGAACTACCTGAAGAGGTAACACGCGGGAAGGGGAAGAAGCTGGGCTGCCTTCCCACGACCCCCTGTGAACCCGGGTTACCGCATTCAACCCCCTGGCCGGCCGGCCGGCCTGCCTCCCCCGCCCCGCCTTCGCCCTGGTCACCCTGCTGCAGCAGATCCTCTCCGGGAGGAACTACCTGAAGAGGTAACACGCGGGAAGGGGAAGAAGCTGGGCTGCCTTCCCACGACCCCCTGTGAACCCGGGTTACCGCATTCAAACCCCTGGCCGGCCGGCCGGCCTGCCTCCCCCGCCCCGCCTTCGCCCTGGTCACCCTGCTGCAGCAGATCCTCTCCGGGAGGAACTACCTGAAGAGGTAACACGCGGGAAGGGGAGAGGCTGGGCTGCCTTCCCACGACCCTCTGTGAACCCGGGTTACCGCATTCAAACCCCTGGCCGGCCTTCCTCCCTCGTCCCCCCCCCCCGGGAGAGGAACCCTTCAGACTCAAAGGAGCCCCAAAGGGTGGGTGGGTGGTGGGCGCAGCAGGAGAAACAAACCCCATTTAGCCAGGGATGCTGGGATGCGTCTCCTTTTCTGCTTGGTGGCTGGTAACCTTGGTTTGTTCTCCTTCTTGTTCTTCTTGTTCTTCTTCTTCTGCGGTGCAGCCTGTGGTGTGAACGGAGCCTTGCAGGTCATCTCTCAGGGTAAGGCCGGGTTGGGGACGGAGAGAAAAAGCCATCTGGCTGGGGGACCCTTTTCAAGGGTCATCAATCCGAATTGATTCCCCCCCAATAACCTGGTTAAATTATACCAGCGTATCGCCCGAACCCGGAAAATGGGTTAATTCAGTAACTGAGTTAGTAGGCAGCTGTACTGCTGCGTGTGTTGTGCAGGTGCCTGAGTTTTATTTAAAATAAATAATAATAATAATAATAATAATAATAATAATAATAATAATAATAATAATAATAATATCATCATTATCATCATCTCATGTCCTTGGGAAGGACTCGATAGGTAGACAAAATGCCAAATTCAGTCTGAACATCTGACTGACTGTGCGATGATCCGTAATAATAATAAAGTTGGAAGGGAACTTGGAGGTCATCCAGTCCAACCCCCTGCTCATTCATCCCTAAGTCTTGTGGACAATTGCAGGCTGATCTAAAAAAACAAAACAAAAACCATGGATGGCTTTTGGGGTGCCTTACAACAGGGGTCCCCAACCTTCGGGGCACCTGGGACTGGTTCCGTGGAAAGAAGTTTTTTCCGTGGCCCGAGGGTGCGTGGTTTTGTGTGCTGCCTGCATCCCCAAAATGGGGCTCTGCTTGTTTGTGTAGTTGCTGGCATGCCGTGGCCCCGGTACCGGTCCACGGACTGTGTGTGTGGGGGGTTTGGGGACCCCTGCCTTACAAGACGACAGCGCGTCACATTGAGTGAAATAGTCCGTGGAAGCTTTGGCTGTCACAGACTTGACAAGATGGCACAAGACTTTACAGAGAGAGAGAGAGAGAGAGAGAGAGAGAGAGAGAGAGAGAGAGAGAGAGAGAGAGAGATGGCTGGATAGATAGATAGATAGATAGATAGATAGATAGATAGATAGATATAGAGATAGATAGATAGAGATAGATAGATATTGCTGCATATATAGATAGATAGAAATAGAGATAGATAGAGATAGATAGATATTGCTGCATATATAGATAGATAGAAATAGAGATAGATAGAGATAGATAGATAGACAGACAGACAGACAGATAGATAGATAGAAATAGAGATAGATAGATATGGCTGCATAGATAGAAATAGAGATAGATAGATAGATAGATAGATAGATAGATAGATAGATAGATAGATAGAAATAGAGATAGAGATAGAGATAGATATGGCTGCATAGATAGAAATAGAGATAGATAGATAGATAGATATGGCTGCATAGATAGATAGATAGATAGATAGATAGATAGATAGATAGATAGATAGAAATAGAGATAGATAGATATGGCTGCATAGATAGAAATAGAGATAGAGAGATAGATAGATAGAAATAGAGATAGAGATAGATAGATAGATAGATAGATAGATAGATAGATAGATAGATAGATAGATAGATACGGCTGCAGAGAGAGAGAGAGAGAGAGAGATCAGTGGTTCTCAATCTTCCTAATGCCGCGACCCTTTAATACAGTTCCTCATGTAGTGGTGACCCCCAACCCCCCATCCAGTTGGCTGGGGAGGGGGGGGCAGGAAGGCCACTCTGCCGGCTCCGCCCAGCCTGGTTGGAGAAGCGCCATTCCTCTCTCTCTTTCTCTCTTTCGCTCTCTTTCCTCTTTCCTCTTTCTCTCTTTCCTCTCTCTCTCTCTTTCCTCTTTCTCTCTTTCTCTTTCTCTCTTTCTCTCTTTCTCTCCTCATTCTCTCTCTTCTCTCTCTCCCTCTTTCCTCTCTTTCCCTCTTTCCACTCTTTTTCTCTTTCCTCTCCCCTTCTCTTTCTCTCTTTCCTCTCCTTCTCTCTTCTTTCTCTTTCTGTTTCCTCCCTCTTTCTCTTTCTCTCTTTCCTCTCTCTTTCTCTGTTTCCTCTCTCTTTCTCTGTTTCCTCCTTCTTTCTCTTTCTCTCTCTCTTTCCTCTTTCTTTTACTCTGCTTCTCTCTCTTTCCTCTCTCTCTTTCTCTCTCTTACGGCAGTATCGTCGGGGGTCCCCACCGCCCCCGGCCTCTGCGCGTCCTCAGCCAAACGGGCGGGGAGGGGGAGCAGGACAGGAGGCAGCGGCTCCAGCGGCAGCGACAGGGCAGCATCGTCGGAGTCCCGGCCGCCCCTGGTCCAGCCGCCGCCCCCGCTGGAACTCTGCGCTGCCCGGCCTCACCCTCCGCCCATCGATGGAGCCGCGGTGGAGGCAGCGCCCGCCCGAGGCGCCTGGGGGGCAGCAGGACGAAGGAGAGGAGGAGGGCGAGGAAGCGGTCGCCCTAGCCAGGACTCCGCGCTGCCCGGCCTCGCCCTTCGCCCATCCAATGGAGCCACGGTGGGGGCTGGTGCCGCGCGGCCCCTGCCAGCCCCTCTGCCAGCCCGGCTGCTCCCCCCCCAGGCACCCCTCTTGCCCCAGCGCCCACCTGAGCCGCTTTGGGGGCAGCAAGAGGAAGAAGGGGAGGAGGAAGAGGAGGGCAAGGAAGCCGCCACCAGTGCCAGGCCCCTCTTCTTTGGGGCAGCCCCTGATACTGGAAGGCTGCTATCCTGTCCCCCCCTCGTCCTTCTCTTCATTAAACTAGACCAGTGGTTCTCAACCTTTCTAATGCCGCGACCCCATAATACAGTTCCCCATATTGTGGTGACCCCCAACCACTTATACATCACTGGGTGCCAGGGGCGTGGCCAAAGAAAAGGGGAGAAAAAATGGCGGACAGCCTTGTTTGGCGACCCCCGTGAAATGGTCGTTCGACCCCAAATGGGGTCCCGACCCACAGGTTGAGAACCACTGAACTAGACAGACCCAATTCCAACAACCGTTCTTTATATGCTTTAGCCTCCAGTCCCCTGATCCTCTTTGTTGCTCTTCTCTGCACTCTTTCTAGAGTCTCAACATCTTTTTTACATCGTGGTGACCAAAACTGGATGCCGTATTCCAAGTGTGGCCTTACGAAGGCGTTGTAAAGTGGTAGTAACACTTCATGTGATCTTGATTCTGTCCCTCTGTTAATGCAGCCCAGCACTGTGTTGGCCTTTTTGGCAGCTGCAGCACACGGCTGGCTCCTATTTAAGGGATTGTCCACTAGGACTCCGAGATCCCTCTCACAATTACACAGTTATGAATATTCATTTCCTTGAGTTACTTATAAAGTAATAAAGGCAGGTTTTTACGTCATTTATGTCTTGTAATTATAACTGTTCGTACATTTATAATCTTTGTATATATTTTTATTTCTATTGCTTTGTAACCTGCCCGGAATGCCTCTGGAGAGTAAGACAAATTTAATGAATAAAGAAATCAAATAAATAAGCACGCAACCTTGTGCAGCTTTTTAAAGCAGCCGGATCTTTTATTGGAATTTGCCTGGGTGCTTCAAAGAGTTGCAGTCAGGCGCTGGTTCACCTCCCCCTAAAGCAGGGGGTCCCCTTTAAATCTGGCCACTTTAAGATTTGTGGACTTCAACTCCCAGAATTTCTCAGCCAGCCCTCAGGGCTGGTTGAGGAATTCTGGGAGTTGAAGTCCACAAGTCTTCAAAGTGGCCAAGTTTGAAGAGCCATGCATTGAAGTGAATCCAAATGACCCCTAATGAAATATAGCACAATGTGAAAAGCTAGCCTTACATTGCACTGTTTAGGATAGGATTCCCGTAAATGAAATTCTCGGATAGGTCCAGAAAACCACTCTTAAAAAGCAAAGAGCAGCGCTAAGCATTCTTTCAGATTTTCTCCCACTATAGCACGGCTGGTTCTTTCAGTCAGGCGAATGCAACTTACAGATGCTCCGTTCTGATCAGACAGACGGCTGTCACAGGCGCTGACAATCCAGCTGACATTTAATGATTTCTCTTTAATTGTCATTTCCGCAACTATGAAGCAAAGCCTGTCTCCAGATGCAGCAGAAAGGGAGTAAATTGAAATTTCAGTACAAAAGAGGCAGGGCTATAGCAATAGTAATAATAATGTCCATGTATGCCAACCTTTTTTTTTTTTAATACATCTGAGTCACTGTGTACAATTTTGGTCACCAAGATACAAAAAAAAAAAGATGCAGAGATCCTAGGAAGCGTGCAGAGAAGAGCAACAAAGATGATGAAGGCTAAATATGGTTGAGGGAGCCAGATATAGAATAGAATAGAGCTGGAAGGGACCTTGGAGGTCTTCTAGTCCAGCCCCCTGCTCAAGCAGGAGAACCTATACCATCTCAGACAAGTGACTGTCCAGTCTCTTTCTAAAAACCTCCAGGGATGGAGCGCCCACGATTTCTGGTGGCAAGCTGTTCCACTGGTTGATTGTCCTCATTGTTAGGAAATTTCTCCTTAATTCCAGGTTGCTTCTCTCTTTGGTCAGTTTCCATCCATTGTTTCTCGTCCTTCCCTCTGGTGCTTTGGAGAATAATGTGACCCCCTCTTCTTTGTGGCAGCCCCTCAGATACTGAAATTCTGCTATCATGTCCCCCCTATTTCTTCTTTTCTTTAGACTAGTCAAACCCAAGTCCCGTAGCCATTCTTTGTATGTTTTAGCCTCCAGGCCTTGGATCATCTTAGTAGTGGCCAACGTTTGAGGTTTAATGGCTAATAACACCATTTAGTTTTGGGGTAGTACCATAAAATTATATATCAATGGAAAGATAATGTAATCAAGAATGTAATGCAACAAAGTTTGTTCAATTATCTGTACTGTATTCTATGAAAAGTTATAGCCAAATAAGCAGAATAAGGAAACACAACTTGCTTAGGTTGATCTCAGGTAGCTTTCCTTCATCTGATGGTAGCCAATGAGCATGAGTGTTTAGAGAGCCAAAACAAGCTGTCATCTTGTTTTAGTCATGAGCCAATCAGATCACAGTAGGATCCATTTATTGATGTCCTGTATTGAAGCTGAGAGGAGGACATTTGTCAGTGTGTTATGTGATCGCTATCGAGTTGGTTGGAATTTTTTTTGTGTTCTTCCATTTAGTGAGCTTGCAAGATGTCATAAAATTAAAGCAATGGTGCAAAGAGTTGATTGGTTGCCCAGAAAGCCACGTAAAGTAGTATTATTAAGTGAACAAGGCTACAGTTATAAAGAAGTTAGAAGAAAAATTGGTGGAAACTGAACCAAAGGTGGCATTTCTAAGTTTTTGAAGAGATATAAGGAGACTCGGTCACTACAAAACCACACTGGTAAAGGCAGGAAAAGGTGCACAACAGCAAGTGATGATAGAAGAATTAAGAGACTGTGCCTACACGACAGGCGAAAATCATCTGGGTGCATACAGGATGAAATGGCGCAATGCATTGTGTGGTTGAGTGCAAGGACTGTTTGGCGCAGACTGCAGGAATTTGGCCTAAAATCTAGAATTCCGTGAAAAAAGCCACTTCTCTCTCTCAAACAAAGGTTGAAAAGACTAAACTGGGCTAAAATCCATGTTAACGGGACGGAGGGACAATGGGACAGTGTTATTTGGAGTGATGAGACCCAAGATCTCACTGTTTGGGAGTGATGGCATAAAATACGTAAGGACAAGAATCGGAGAAGATTTGCCTCCTGATTGCATTACATGTACCGTGAAACACCCAGTCAGTGTTATGATCTGGGGTTGTATGACATCAAAAGGTGTGGGCAGAATTGGTGTGATTAATGGGAATATAAATGACCAAAAATGTTGTTAAGTCGTGTCCGACCCATCGTGACCCCAAGGACAACGTTCCTCCAGGCCTTCCCGTCCTCTACCATCTTCTGGAGTCCATTTAAGCTCACGCCTCCTGCTTCAGTGACTCCATCCAGCCACCTCTGTCGTCCCCTTGATAATAATAATAATAATAACAATAACAACAACAACAACAACAACAACAACAATTGTCGATAAGAAAGACAAAAAAGTCTGGATAGTGGACGTGGCAGTGCCTGGAGACAGCAGAATAGAAGAGAAAGAGCTGGAGAAGATAACAAAATACAAAGACCTACAAATAGAAATAGAAAGACTGTGGCAAAAGCAAGCAAGGGTAGTACCAATAGTCATAGGCTCCTTGGGTACAATCCCAAAACAACTGGAGCACCACTTGAACACGATTGGCATTGACAAATTCGCTATTAGTCAATTGCAAAAGGCGGCCTTATTAGGAACTGCTTCCATCCTGCGACGATATCTGTAATACCATCAAACATCCACATCTGCCTATCCCAGGTCCTGGGTAAGGACTCGATAGGTAGACAAAAATGCCAAATCCAATCTGAGCATCTGGCTGACTGTGCGATGATCATAATAATGATAGTAAAGTTGGAAGGGACCTTGGAGGTCATCTAGTCCAACCCCCTGCTCAGGCAGGACACCCTACACCATTTCAGACAAAGTGCCGTCCAGTCTCTTCTTAAAAACTTCCAGTGATGGAGCATTCACAACTTCTGGAGGCAGGTAGTTCCACCGGTTAATTGTTCTCACTGTCAGGAAGTTTCTCCTTAGTTCTAGGTTGCTTCTCTCCTTGATTAGTTTCCACCCGTTGCTTCTTGTCCTGCCTTCAGGCGCTTTGGAGAATAGCTTGACTCCCTCTTCTTTGGGGCAGCCCCTGAGATACTGGAAGACTGCTATCATGCCCCCCCTTGTCCTTCTCTTCATTAGATTAGACAATATCTGTTAAGTCCTCACATTAATGGCGAATGATGAAGACACATCTTTCCTTGAATAACTCTTTACTTCGTTTTCCAACCAGAACTCCAACAACGAGCAAAGGCACGCAGGCCTCCTTTTATACGCCCAAATCCCCGGACACAATGGCAACAGAAAACAGGCACTTCTCCTGCCTTGCGCATGCGTGCAAAGCCGACGCCATTCAGTCTGGTCCCGGGCTGCTTCTGCAAAGCCCGGGACCATTGCAATGTCCCGAGCCTGCATTTGCAGGCTCAGGACACAACACCCCTCCCCCCCTAGCTTGAATCAATCCTGTCATTTTTTAAACATTTTTCTTTGGGAAAAGTGTCACACTTCCTCACAGCCAAACATGGAAGGGAGTGCCTGAGGTTGCTTCCACCCACACGTTTCTTCCCATTGCTTTGGTGAATAGCTATACCCAAAATCATAAATAAAACAAAATAACATTATCAGTCTATGACAGAGGTTCTCAACCTTTCTAATGCCGCGACCCCATAATACAGTTCCCCGTGTTGTGGTGACCCCCAACCATTTATACATCACCGGGTGCCAGGGGCGTGGCCAAAGAAAAGGGGGAAAAATGGCGGACAGCCTTGTTTGGCGACCCCCGTGAAATGGCTGTTCGACCCCAAATGGGGTCCCGACCCACAGGTTGAGAACCACTGGTCTATGACTTTTAAGGGCATTCCCCCTGGAACTGGACAGCAATGTCACAAAATCTGAAAGATAGTTATGCGGGCACTTGGCCCTTTGCGACCTCCTCAGACCGGAATAGTTTTCTTGATCCCTTTCCTCGCCCACCGGGTTGGATGATCCAAGATGTTGCTGCCCACTTGCCTCAGGAGACCCTGGTGTTGTTGCCTGACCTACCTGCTCACCTGCCAGGCTCACTAGATCAGGACTTTTGCTGTCCCCTGTACCTGGTCGATCTGCCCATCTGCTGGCTGGCTGAGCCCTCTGAGCTCAACCCAGCATCCCTTGGAGGGGTGGTATTCTCCGGATCCACAATGGACCTTCCTTGGGAACACCGTCCCTGGAACCCAAGGTCAGCAGATGGAGAGTCAGGGGTGTCTACAGGGCCCCAGTACCCCGTGGGCCCCAAGGTGCCAGAATCAGGAGTTGTCTCTCTGTTTGCCCCCTTTCCAGAGGACTTCCTTCTGGGAGCAGTTTATTTATTTATTTATTTATTTATGAGACTTATATACCGCTTTAAGTGCAAGCACTCTCTAAGCGGTGCCCCCAACAATCTGGGTCCTCATTTTACCTGCCCCGGAAGGATGGAAGGCTGAGTCAACCTTGAGCCGGTGAGATTTGAACCGCTGACCTGCTGAACACAGTCAGCTAACGCGGCCTGCAGTACTGCACTTGTAACTGCTGCGCCACCTCGGCTCTTGCGGAATTTGGCCAGCCCCCATGTCGTGTTGCCAGTTCTCTTGCCAAATGTGAGTTGTGTGGATACCCCCGGTCAGTCTCCCTGTCTGGAGCATTACTGGTTGTGCGTGAATAGTGTGGATACCCCCTGTGTGACTCCCTGGCTGGAGTGAGTATGGGTGTATGGGGTGACCCCCTGCCCCATGAATTCCTGTTTGGAATACTTGCGGAAACTTGAGATGGGTCACCAACGGCCTCCTCAGCGGCCAGTAAATGCCGGTGATACTGATCCTCAGAGTGCATATTATCATCTTCCTCCCCCCCCCCAAGAGCAGAGCCAGGAGCGGAAGGGTGAGAGTCCAGCCACCAACGCAGCTGGTCTATGTGCTGCCGAAGAACGCGGTCGTCCTCCAAAGTCGCCTCATAGGACAAAGGTCCAGAGCTCAAAATGCGGTCATGTCAGCTCTGCCTAGCTTGGCTTGGGGGCCCCACAGGCATCCTGTCATCAAAAGAAGGATGATAGGGGGAAGAAGAGGGGGGCAAAGAATGAAAGGAGGAAGGATAAGACAATGAAGCTTGGCATGTGATCCCGTTTGTACCAGTGTCCCAACAGCCAGGCATTCTGAGAAATATGTAAATTACCCTCCAACATCTCAAGAGTTTTCAAAACATCTTCCAGTTGGCTGGAAATGGGCTGGTCACGGGGAAGGGATGGGCTGGGGGCAGACCTACACCTTATTTTCATATCTAACGAGCACGGTAATTTCAGAGCTGGCTTGACTTTACTGCAACCAATATCCTTAGTAAAAGAATTCTTTGCTTTAACCCAGCGGTTCTCAACCTGTGGGTGGGGACCCCATTTGGGGTCGAACGACCATTTCACGGGGGTCGCCAAACAACGCAGTCCGCCATTTTTTCCCCCCTTTTCCTTAGCTGTGCTACTCCCTTTTATTCTATTGGCTTCTGAAAGCCAATAGAATAGACTCTCTAAAAGGTTAGACTAAATGATACTCAGAAACCTGCCCAAACTTGTGGCCCAAACTTGTGGAAACTTGCCCAAACTGGGTGGTCTCCTCTTAACAAGGTGTCAGCTGGCCCTTTCAAAGGAGGAAAAGATCTGCCCGTTACATATTCCACAGCTTAGTATTTATTTAAAAAAAGGTTGTCTGAAGCCCAGCAGCGATCCGCGCAGGATTCAGCTTTCCTCTATCTTGGGAAATAAGTGTTCACTACAGGTGGGCCATCAATTTATGACCACAGTGGCACCCAAAATTTCTGTGGCTAAGTGAGTGAGTTAACTGAGTTTTGCCCCATTGTGCAACCTGTCTTGCCCCCGTTGTTAAGGGAATCACTGCAGCGGTTAAGTTAGCAACACGGTTGTTAAGTGAATCTGGGCTTTGTTTGTCAGAAGGTCACAAAAACGGGATCACGTGACCTGGGGACGCTGCAACCGTCCTAAATACAAGCCAGTTGCCAAGTGTCTTCATTTCAATCACGGCCTTGGGGACGCTGCAAGTGTGAACGATTGGTCATAAGTCACATTTTTTTCCAGGACCATTGTAATGCTGAAGGGTCAGTAAACAAACTGTTGTTAAGTCGAGATCTACCTCTGTCTAGCTGATGCTGAGAAGGATGGTGGTGACCCATGATGATGTGAGATACCAATTGCCTTGTTTCTTTGCTAGTGAGCCGCACTTTAGCTGGCAGAGGGATGAGGAACGGGCGAACTGGACCAACAGCTCCAATTTCATGGATGGTGGAGTTCTGAGGAGTGGAAATGGCCCAGGCAGCAGGTACAGAGATGGGGGCACAGCCCTGGAAGGGTGCGGTCCTGCAACAGATCCTTAAGATGAGCTGGGAAGGCATCATAACTTGTGGATGCGGCACATTCTTTCCATCTAGAGCAGGGGTGTTCAATCTTGGACACTTTAAGACTTGTGGACTTCAAGTCCCAGAATTCCCCAGCCTCCAACTTTAAGACTTGGGGACTTCAACTCCCAGAATTCCCCAGCCAGCCATGGGCATAGAATCAAGATCACGCAAAGTACTAGTACCGCTTTACAAAGCCTTGTAAGATTACATCTGGAATACTGCAGCCAATTTTGGTCACCATATCACAAAAAAGATGTTGAGAGTTTGGAAAAAAATCAGAGAAGAGCAACTAAGATGATTCAAGGCCTGGAGACTAAAACTTACGAAAAACGGCTGCAGGACTTGGGTTTGACTAGTCTAAAGAAAAGAAATAGGGGAGACATGATAGCAGTATTCCAGTATCTGAGGGGCTGCCCCAAAGAAGAGGAGGGAGTCACGTTATACACCAAAGCACCAGAGGGAAGGATGAGAAATAATAGTCTTGGTGTGACCCTTGGTGTCTACACTAGCCTTTGTGTGACACTTGGTGTGACTCTCGCGCCAGTGGTAGCCTTGGCACAATCCTTGTGTCTGCGCTAGCCTCGGTGTGACCCTTGGTGTGACTCTCGCGCCAGTGCTAGCCTTAGTACAATCCTTGTGTCTGCGCTAGCCTCGGTGTGACCTTGGCATGACTCTCGCGCCAGTGCTAGCCTCAGTACAATCTTTGTGTCTGCACTAGCCTCGGTGTGACCCTTTGCATGACTCTCGCGCCAGTGCTAGCCTCAGTACAATCTTTGTATCTGCACTAGCCTCAGTGTGACCCTCAGCTTTGCATATTTATGAAAAATAAGTGCATTTGTATGCTCGGTTATTTTTTTCTGAGAGGGACGAATATTTAAAAAGGTGGGGAATGGAGGTTACTCGGACCAGATCCTGTTTGTATTTATCCATGCATCCATGTGCTAAACAGCGGTAAACGTTTCAAGATGGTTTTTGCTTTTCTGATAGAGCCGCAAGGAAAAACAGTCTCGGCTCTGTCTGGTTGAGTTTTCCCGGGATTGCTTTGGTAACGACCTACATTTCTGGCCTTCGTTCATTTTAATCGTGGAACAGGGTTGTACAATAGTATGTCTGTTCTATCGTGACTGGCCGATGTACGGCCCGTCAAACTTTGTCCAGCGCACAGATGAATTTGATGTGCGTATTTTTGTTTTGTGGGCACCCTCTACCCATTCATTATCCCCATTGCAATTTTGTGTGTATAATAAGCTTCGAACAGGAAAAAAAATAGATAAGAGAAGCTGGAAGCAAAATTCTCTTCGCTTATTCGTCACTGTCTGGGGCTCTCTCGTTATTTTTCGCCTTGTGCCAGTCGCTTTTCTTAAAAAAAAAAAAAATATGGTCCAATGTTCATTTTGTAGAACGCCTCAGCGGCTGGGCTCTTCGGATTTCTGTCCGTGGCTTGAAAGAGCGGCAGACTAACCTGGAAAAATTAAACATTTGATTTAACTTTAATTTCATTGAATGGACAGTGAGAGTTGGACATGATTGCACGGACAGGGAAAAAAAAATAGGTAAAAATAGCCCACCAGATTCTTCAACACAAGATTTCCCCAATGTCTTTAGCAGCAAAGACAGGGAATCCTTGACTTAACAACGATTTGTTTGACGTTACGACCGCGTGGAAAAAGAGACTTACGACCGTTTTTCACACTTAGGACTATTGCAGCATCCACCTGGTCACGTGATCAAAATATTTATGACGGTCGCAGTGTCCTGACGTCACGTGATCCCCTTCTGACAGGCAAAGTCAATGGGAAAGCCAAATTCGCTTAAGAACCGTGTGGCTAATTGAATAACTGCAGTGATTCACTTAACAAATATGGCGTCTCGCTTAGCAACAGAAATTGTGGCTCAGTTGGGATCACGCGTCGAGGACGACCCTGTAGGTTAATTACCTTTGTCAGGTAATTTCAGATGACTACAAAAGCATCAGACCGCAGAATTGGCTTTCCAAAGCAGGCAGAACTCCGGTTAGGGTTCTTGCTAACCTTGTGGTTCAGATCCAGCCCGTATTTATTCACTTATTTATCGATCAGGTTCATTTGCCACCCATCTCATCATCAAAACAATTCCGCATGGATTACAGCATTAAAAGATGGGATAGTCCTTCTGAAAACGGAGTCGTTCTGCAAACACCAGAAAGTGGGTTAATTTGGTAACCAAAGGAAGAACTCGTGTGAACAAAGCTGCTGCATTTTTGGAGGTGTGTGTGTGTATATCTGTTTCTTCATTGTGCAGCTTGTCTTTTCCTCCTTAACAGAATAGCAGGGTAACAGAGTTGGAAGGGACCTTGGAGGTCATCTAGTCCAACCCCCTGCTCAGGCAGGAAACCCTACACCATTTCAGACAAATGGCTATCCAGTCTCTTCTTAAAAATTTCCAGTGTTGGAGCATTCACCGCTTCTGGAGGCAGGTTGTTCCACTGGTTAATTGTTCTCACTGTCAGGAAGTTTCTCCTTAGTTCCAGGTTGCTTCTCTCCTTGATTAGTGTCCATCCGTTGCTTCTTGTCTTGACTTTGGGGGCTTTGGAGAATAGCTTGACTCCCTCTTCTTTGGGGCAGCCCCTCAAATATCGGAAGACTGCTATCGTATCCACCCTAGTCCTTCTTTTTCATTAAACTGGACATACCCAATTCCTCCAACCGTTGCATGTTTTAGCCTCCAGTCCCCTGATCATCTTGGTGGCTCTTCTCTGAACTCTTGAGTCTCAATGTCTTTTTGGAGACTACATGTTCTACAAACCACAGTTAGATGAGTGGGACTTATGGGATTGATCGACAAACGTATTTGAAAAGTGCACCCAGTCGTGTGAAGATGTTGCCTGACATTTATTTTTGTGTCTCATTTGTTCTTCCTCAGGTACTTTGAATATTATGACGGTCCTTTTGAGTACAACTCTACAAAATGTGTGGATCTAAGGCGGGAAATAATGGCATTGAAGGTTCTGACGGTGTAAGTAGGAGCTATCATCCCTTTTCTCTTAGGCCAGGGGTAGGCAGCCTTGGCTCTTTTATGACTCGTGGACTTCAACTCCCAGAATTCCTGAGCCAGCCATGCTGAGGGGAAAGGGAGAGGTTTCCAAGCTGAGCCAGGCTGGCTGAGGAATTCTGGGAGTTGAAGTCCATGAGTCATAAAGCCACCTAGGCCTAGGCCAGGGGTAGGCAACCTTGGCTCTTTTATGACTCGTGGACTTCAACTCCCAGAATTCCTGAGCCAGCCATGCTGAGGGGAAAGGGAGAGGTTGCCAAGCTGAGCCAGGCTGGCTGAGGAATTCTGGGAGTTGAAGTCCATGAGTCATAAAGCCACCTAGGCCTAGGCCAGGGGTAGGCAACCTTGGCTCTTTTATGACTCGTGGACTTCAACTCCCAGAATTCCTGAGCCAGCCATGCTGAGGGGAAAGGGAGAGGTTGCCAAGCTGAGCCAAGCTGACTCAGGAATTCTGGGAGTTGAAGTCCACAAGTCATGAAGGGGCCAAAGTTTCCCCCATGCTGGATCAGGAATTCTGGGAGTTGAAGTCCACGAGTCATAAAGCGGCCTATGCCTAGACCAGGGGTAGGCAACCTTGGCTCTTTTATGACTTGTGGACTTCAACTCCCAGAATTCCTGAGCCAGCCATGTTGAGAGGAAAGGGAGAAGTTTCCAAGCTGAGCCAGGCTGGCTCAGGAATTCTGGGAGTTGAAGTCCACGAGTCATAAAAGAGCCCAGGTTGCCTACCCCTGGCCTAGGCCGTTCTGAACCGAGGGCATGGCAGAATCCAGCCTTTTTGTCCAAAAAAGGCTGTTTTCAAGTTTACACTTTGCAGTGATGCTCCAAACGTCTTAAGGTTTTCCCGCTGGGGTTGGTGAGTAACGGTGAGGTGGAACCAAAGAGCAGGTGTAAGTCAGCTCCTAAGTAGTCTGCTCCGACTTTCAGAAGAGCTAGTGTGCACCCGGCATCTGCTAGGATTGTTAGCTTTTCTGGAACCACTGATGAGGTCTTGAAGACAAGATTGGCAGAAGAGTGTTTGCATTTCCCCAAGTTCTTCCAATGGGCTGGGGGTCAAAGGAGTGATGGAGAACCGAAGACCGTTGGACTTGCGGCAACCAACCAGTTGCCTGTGTCTAATCAGCAAGTTGGACTCTTGCCCGCCTGCTATGCGAATATTCTTTTGTTGACAGGGAAAAGAAGCAAAGAAAACCACAGGATATGAGATAGATAGATAGATAGATAGATAGATAGATAGATAGATAGATAGATAGATAGATAGATAGATAGATAGGACAGACAGAGACAGATAAATAGACAGATATAGACGATGGATGGATGGATGGATGGATGGCTGGAGAGATGGAGAGATGGAGATGGACATAGGTATATAGATATAGAGATAGATAGATAGAGAGAGAGACAGACAGACAGACATATTCTATATCCTATGGTTTTCTTTGCTTCAGAATAGTGTGTGTGTGTGTGTGTGTGTGTGTGTGTGTGTGTGTGTGTGTAGACACACACGCACACATGACCAGGACAAAGTTGCATTGTTGTTGTCAAAACTGGGATGTAGATTCTGCTACCTTTGGAATTCAGCTCTGACTGGACCGTTTCTTTCTGCCTGTTCTAGAGCGAAGCAGACCGAATTGTTCGAAAGATGGAGGAACCTTCAGATCTGCAAATGGGAGATGAATATCACAGAGGCCAAGTTCTTCAAGTAAGACGGTGGGGGGGGGGGAGCAACGTGGGGCTAAGAGAGTTTAGAAAACGCAATCAAATCCCTAGCCCCCAACTCTTATCTAGACAGCGAGAAAGGGTAATTGTTGATTGCAGGTTGATTGTTTTTCAGCTCCAGGCGGAGGTATAAATTATTTCTTTTTTTACTACTGTGAACAAATCTGCCCGGCTGTATTTTACTTAAAGCCAGTCAGACTATATAGGAATAGTGACCCAGCCAATGTGATGTGTTCAACAAACCATGCTTTAATCACAGGACCCAGCCACTGAATCAGATGATAGTTCCTCTGAACTGTGTCTCCTCCAACATAGCACATTTAAATGTGTTGGGGCTTTTGAATAGAATAGAGCTGGAAGGGACCTTGGAGGTCTTCTAGTCCAGCCCCCCGCTCCAGCAGGAGAGCCTATACCATCTCAGACAAGTGACTGTCCAGTCTCTTCTTAAAAACCTCCAGGGATGGAGCGCCCACGATTTCTGGTGGCAAGCTGTTCCACTGGTTGATTGTCCTCCCTGTCAGGAAGTTTCTCCTTAATTCCAGGTTGCGTCTCTCCTTAATCAGTTTCCAACCATTGTTTCTCATCCTTCTCTCTGGTACGCTGGTAAATAACCTGACCCCATCTGCCTTGTGGCAGCTCCTCAGATAGTGAAATTCTGCTATCGTGTCTCCCCTATTTCTTCTTCTCTTTAGACTAGCCAAACCCAAGTCCTGCAGCCGTTCTTCATATGTTTTAGTCTCCAGGCCTTGGATCATTTTAGTTGCTCTTCTCTGAAGTTTTTCCAAGGTCTCAACATCTTTTTTGAGGTATGGTGACCAAAATTATGGAAGCAAGGAAGGAAAGAAGGAAGGAAGGAAGAAAGGAAGGAAGGAAGGAAGGAAGGAAGGAAGGAAGGAAGGAAGGAAGGAAGGGAGGGAGGAGTAGCAATAGCACTTAGACTTATATACTGCTTCACAGCCCTCTCTAAGCGGTTTACAGTCAGCATATTGCCCCCCAACTGTCCAGGTCCTCATTTTACCGACCTCAGAAGGATGGAAGCCTGAGTCAACCCTGAACCGCGCCAGGATCGAACTCCTGGCAGTGGGCAGCAAATCAGCCTGCAATACTGCATTCTAGCCACTGCGCCACCATGATTCACGTGTATCCTTCCTGCTTCTTCACACAGGTCTACTTTGTCCAGATGTTGCAATGCACCAGCATTCCTCTTCACCACACAAAAGAACACACCCCTGGGAACAGACTTGAAATACGAAGTGGATACCAGCGGCATTTTCCATATCAACGTCGAAGTATTCAGAATGTTTCCTAAGGTGGGGTAGCTTTGTCGACTTAAAAATAATTCTCCATAAGTACAGCAGCGGACAAAATTGTGGAAACCTTTTGGGAAAAGTGTACAGTAGAAATACCACCTTTGGTTAAGTTTCCACCCATTTTTCTTCTAAGTTCTTTATAACTATAGCCTTGTTCACTTAATAATACTATTTTGCATCGCTTTCTGGGCGACCAGTCAACTCTTTGCACCGTTACTTTAATTTTATTACGTTTTGCAAGCTCACTCAATGAAAGAACACCAAAAAACCCAACCAACTTGATAGCCATTTATTTATTTATTTATGAGACTTATATACCGCTTTAAGTGCGAGCACTCTCTAAGCGGTGTATACCAGTAAGCAATGTATACATATATTTACATTGCCCCCAACAATCTGGGTCCTCATTTTACCTACCCCGGAAGGATGGAAGGCTGAGTCAACCTTGAGCCGGTGAGATTTGAACCGCTGACCTGCTGAACACAGCCAGCTAAAGTGGCCTGCAGTACTGCACTCTAACTGCTGCCCCACCTCGGCTTATCACATAACACACTGACAAATGTCCTCCTCTCAGCTTCAATACAGGGTATCAATCACTGGATCCTACTGTGATCTGATTGGCTCATGGCCACAACAAGATGACACCCGATTGGGTCTCTAAACACTTGTGTTCATTGGCTGCAATCAGATGAAGGAAAGCTACCTGAGGTCAACCTAAGCAAGGTGTGCTTCCTTTTTCTGGTTATTTGGCTATAACTTTTCACAGAATACAGTACAGATAATTGAACAAACTTTGCTGCGTTACATTCTTGATTCAATTATCTTTCCGTTGATATATAATGTTATGGTACTACTGCCAAAAAAAGTAGTGTTATTAGCCATCCAAGCTCAAAAATACACTTTTCCCAAAAGGTTTCCACAATTTTGGCCACTACTGTAGATCTGAACCCCCTTGGTGGGACACAAAGGCATTGCCTGGATTTTGTAGCAGCTATGAAAAGTGAGCAAAGGCGTGAAATATACCGTACTTCCCGGCGTATAAGACAACTTTCGAAAGCGTTGAAATCGGCGCCGAAGTCGGGGGTCGTCTTATACACTGAGTCATCTTATATGCCGGAAATAACGGTAGTTTCCAGCGTATAAGACGACTTTCTAGGCATGCAATTCGATGCCGAAGTTGGGGGTCGTCTTATACGCCGAGTCGCCTTATACGCCGGAAATAACGGTAGTTTCCGGCATATAGGACGACTTTCTAGGCATGCAACTTGGTGCTGAAGTCGGGGGTCGTCTAATACGCCGAGTCGCCTTATACGCCAGAAATCACGGTAGTTTCCAGAGTATAAGACGACTTTCTAGGCATGGAACTCAGTGCTGAAGTTGGGGGTCGCCTTATACGCCGGAAATCACGGTAGTTTCCGGAGTATAAGACGACTTTCTAGGCATGCAACTCGGTGCTGAAGTCGGGGGTCGTCTTATACGCCGAGTCGCCTTATACACCGGAAAATATGGTAAGTGAATCACCTTGCTGTGATTTGCTTCATAGTTGCTCTGATCGGTCTGCCATCTGCCACCTCACTCCTGCACATCAAGAGAGAGGCAGCATAATTTATATTTAGCACATCACATCAGAGAGCTATCCTATCCATGCAGAAAATGTCCAATCAACATAATTTAAATAAGGCCACTGAATCAGGTTGCGGCTGACGGGAGACTTGGCCCAGACTCTACATGACATGATAATGGAATTTGTTCATGTTCCATTTCGGTGTAGTGTCACCCCAGCCTACTGGGGGTTTATTTAGCAAACAGTGGATTGTTCAAACCAGGACTTTATTAACCCATCTGTTGTCTTCTGAAGAAGGTCTTTCCTTTGCTCTCCACCTCTTGCGTATTGTCAATTTTGAACTCGTTTGGAATTTCTCTCTGACTTTTTCCCCAAAAGTCTTTGTGAGTTATGTCAGGGGTCCCTGAACTTGGCAACTTTAAGACTTGTGGATTTCAACTCCCAGAATTCCCCAGCTAGCAGGATTGGCTGAGGAATTCTGGGAGCTGAAGTTCACAATTACTAAGTTTGGAGACCTCTGAGTTACTGTTAGTTAGAGCAGGGCTTTTCAACCTTTTCACCCATTGTACCACTTTTAGGATATGGCACTATCCGAGGACCACCAGTTGCCTAGCAAGGTGTCAAAAACTTAATGACAAAAAAAGGAAAAAAGTGATAAAGTACAGGTAGTCCTCGACTTACAACAGTTCTCTTAGTGACTGTTCGAAGTTACAATGAAAAAAGTGCCCCCCAAGCCACAGCCGAGCAAGACACCTGTCTGCCCGCCCGGTGGCGCTCTTCCTCCTGTCCGAGGTTTTCATTGCTGTGAGCATTTCTGTTGAGTATTGGCAGCGGGGGTGGGGTGGGGGGGTGTTTGTTTTTTATACCCCCCCATCTGCTGGGTGGTTGCAGCAGGTTTTGGTCTCTTCACATGACCCTGGGACACTGTGACCGTCATAAATATGAATCGGTTGCCAAGCATCTGAATGTAAATCATAAGACCCTGGAGAGGCTGCAACATTCCAGCTGATCGGTGCTTCTTCTGGGCTCAGCAGAAGCGCCAGGATCAGTGCTGAGCTCCAGCTGGAGCCTGGTGCTGATCCTGGGGCTTCCGCTGAGCCCTGACAGCCCTGCAGCTCCAGCCATCTCTCGCTCAGGCTTGTGCAGTGCTGCCACCGGTTCAGCTCATTCCCCTCCCCCGCTACCACTTTTCTAGGATGGTCGCGTACCACCTGCCAGGTGCCAATGTACCACAGGTGGTACCCGTACCACTGGTTGAAAAGTCCTGAGTTAGAGAACTCCCATCATTTTCCAGAATCTAACGTTTAGTTCTCAAACTTTCCCTCCCATTTGGCATTTGGGTTCTAGATTTCTTCTGCCTGGGGAAAGGATTTATTACCTTCCTTGTAGTTGACCACGTGGCAGAAGACTGACTAATACCTTTGCCTCCATGGTTAATGGGTGGCTAGAGAGGCAAGTTTATTTCTCCAGCTCTTGGAGAGCAGGGGATTATCCAGAAATGTTGCATATGTTAACTTTGTCACCTATTATGGGGTTCCAAACTATGGGTCGTGGCTCACTACCAGGCTGTGGTCTACTGGCCATTGGGCTGCACTCATTCCTACTCACACTAGCGCCCGCAGACCCGTTTGCACATATGCTAGTCCCTGCGTGTATGCACAAATGGGGCCGCTACTGCTGTGTGGGTTGCATGGCCCATTTTCGCATGTTCACAGTTGCTAGCTGCAGTGGCTTGTGCCTGCACGCAGGCACAAATGGGGGCGCTAGCCCTGTGTGGGTTGCATGGTTCATTTGCACATGTGCGTGGGTGCTAGCAGTGGGGGTGGCTAGCACCTGTGTGCATGCACAAATAGTTCATGTGCAGCTTCGTTCGTGTCACGGTTCTGACAGATGAAACTCTTCAAAAGAACTTCGAGGCATTGTTTACCTTAAAGAATCTTTTATTCGAGTAGCATAACATTGGCACTGCATAATCGAAGCCAAAAACTGAATTCCCCTCCCCTGGGCACCTAGTATCAAAGCACAATTCCCTCCTCCAATTAACAGTTATAAATCACATTCTCTAATTAGTTTGAAACGCAGGCTTCCTCTCCAGTTCCAATTCCTTATCAGCGCTGGTTACAATAACCTTGATTCTCTGCTAGACTTAGTGTTGCTATGTCTGACTGGACTCTCGTTCACATCCCCCCCTCCCGACATCATCTAACTCAATGTTTCTCAACCTTGACAATTTTAAGGCATGTGGACTTCAACTCCCAGAATTCCACAACCAGCATTGCTGGCTGTGGAATTCTGGGAGTTGAAGTCCACATGCCTTAAAATTGTCAATGTTGAGAAACACTGATCTAACTCTAAAAGCAAAAGGGAAAAAGATGGCTGCATTTCCCTTTGTTGTCAATGCAGAAACATCTGATGTTAGCAGCGTTGACAGTTCGCACATGCGCACACACACAAATTTCCCAGCTCTCTTTCCCTCGGGGCCGCTGGCATAAAAAGCTTGCTGACCTCTGACCTGTTATTTGCCTCTAACCGACCTACTATGCTGACCTCAGAGCTGTAGTGGACTGTTTGTTTTCCTTTATGAGTATCGCACCGTGCTTGCTTTAATCCTTTTCTTAAAATCACATTTGTTTCTATGTTGCAAACTTACTATTCATAAACTGCAGATAGTCCTCAACCTATGATGACAACTCAGCCCAAAATGTCTCTTGCTAAGCCGGACGGTTGTTGAGTGTTTTAGGTTCTCTTTTACAACCTTTCCTGCCACAGTTGTTAAGTTAGCAAACTGTTGTTAAGTGAATAGGGCTTCCCCGTTGACTTTGCTTGTCGGAAGGTCGTAAAAAGGGATCACACGGCCCCGGGGCACACTGCAACCGTCATAAATAGGAGCCATTTGCTAAACATCTGGATTTCGATCATGTGATCCTGGAGACGCTGCAACGGTTGTAAGTGTGAAAAAACTGTGATAAGACACTTTTTTGCAGTGCCGTTGTAATTTTAAACAGTCACTAAATGAACAGTGGTGAAGACTACAGTAGTGGCCAAAAATTGGGGAAACCTTTTTGGAAAAGTGTATTTTTGAGGTTGGATGGCTAATAACACCCTCTTTTTTTTGGAGTAGTGCCATAAAATTATATATCAGTGGAAAGATAATTTAATCAAGAACGTAATGCAACAAAGTATGTTCAATTATCTGTACTGTATTCTATGAAAGGTTATAGCCAAATAACCAGAAAAAGGAAGCACACCTTGCTTAGGTTGATCTCAGGTAGCTTTCCTTCATTGCAGCCAATGAGCATGTGTGTTTAGAGAGCCAATCGGGTGTCATCTTGTTTTGGCAATGAGCCAATCGGATCACAGTAGGATCCAGTTATTGATGTCCTGTATTGAAGCTGAGAGGAGGGCATTTGTCAGTATGTTATGTGATGGCTATCAA